TATAGTTGTTATAGTCTATAGATGTTATAGTCTATAGATGTTATAGTGTATATTTGTTATAGTCTATAGATGTTATAGTCTATAGATGTTATAGTGTATATTTGTTATAGTCTATAGATGTTATAGTGTATAGTTGTTATAGTCTATATATGTTATAGTCTATAGATGTTATAGTGTATAGTTGTTATAGTCTATATATGTTATAGTCTATAGATGTCATAGTGTATAGTTGTTATAGTGTATAGTTGTTAATTGGTCTGGCAGTGGCTCAATGAACATCCAATACAAGCTGAAGTAATAACATAAAAGTTGGCCCTCTTAACACCCATCAAAATGACGACCCCGGTCTTTTGGGGGGGTGATTTATGAGCGTTGGTCTGTTGAAAGAACACAAGATCTGACTGTAGGATATGTCAGATTAACTTCAACTCAGAGAGGATTTGAGCTGTAAACACTCAGGAGATTGCATGGCTTGTGTGGGCATGATCAGTCATTCAAGATGTTGGGGTGGTGCTGAAGCAGCTGAGGAAACGGGGGAAGGAAAATGTTTCAAAAACATGGAATTATTTGGTCTAATTTAAAATGCCTGTTGTGGCTTTTACTTAACCGGGCTTACTTGAGACCTGTCAGCATGCAGCACACTGTTATGGAGGCTTAGACCTTAGTGGGACGTGGACAAACAGCTGTAAATGAAATCTGTGGTGCAGAAATAAAAGCTGGTTTCATAGTTTTGCTTTTTTCCTCCTTTTCTTTAAGCTTGCGTTTCTTGTTGTCTCTGAGAATTTTCAGATTATTTTTAACCTGGCAGTTCTTGAAATTATTAATAGATACAAACGTTTGTACTCACAGAGTCTGTGACAGAATGCACACACAACTGCTACGGGAACGGAGAGTGTGTGGCAGGATCGTGCCACTGTTTTCCTGGATTCATAGGACCCTACTGCTCCAGAGGTAATTATTCGACGTTAACAATTATCTTAAAAGCTCAGTTTAGCCCTTGTAAGGCTTATCAGTTCAGTATGCCATTAACAGAAAATTGACATGGTCCTGTATCTATTTTCCTTCATTATTCAGCCTTCACTGCACCATTGCATGGACATTTTCAATGCCAAGCCAATAATAATGTGTGATGCGACTGAAAAGCAATGAATTAAACATTTTGTCAAATCTAAAGTTTTTGAACTGAATAAATGCATTGTGTGAAATGCATTTTCTTGTCTGTTTGTGAGGTCAGTGGTTTGCCGGCACTTTCAGACTGAGAACGATTGCTTCAGAAGCATCAACAAACATTGAAGATACCTCATAGATTAAGCATGCAGTGACATCTAAATATTTTGAAAGTTTGCATGTGATATGCAAAGAGAGTCTTGCTGCGTTTGTGGATACACGTTGTGAGCATGCATCCTAACTTTGCTGCAAACTTGCTATCATTGGAAAAGAAAGGACAAAGGATGTGAGGAATTCACATCATGTTAGGTGTTTTTCTTCCTTAATGCATGTCTCTTGGATTGCTTTAACTTTAAGCCAGCATGGCTCTCTGAAAACAAAATGATGCCCACCCCCGGCTTACACAGTGTGGAGCCTTGTTGGGAGCAAGAATCCGCTGAGCCAAACGAGCAGACTTTTCTTTGAGACAAACCATAAACAATCTCAGTGTTCTGTATCTTTTAGCTTCAGGGCACGAGGCTTTCCTGGTTGCCACAGGGCAGAAGGCAGAGCGCACACTGGACAAGACGCCAGTCCATCACAGGGCATTAGAGGAAATCCAGAAGCTAAAAAAAGAGCAGGATTTTCTACAGTATTCTGCTTTAGGCAAAACAAGATGGGATGTTTTGAATTTTATGACAAGCAGAGCTAACAAGATGCTTGCCTGTTTCACATTTAAAATACCTATAAATGTGTTTTTTATTTCTTCTGAATGCAGATTAAATCCTTGGCAAGTGTCCAGATGACCTTACTGAACCTTGTTGGATTTTATACCTGGATTATTGAGCATGGACTTTGTTGTTCTTGATCAACAATAGAAGATTAACAACAGACACGTTTTAGACACTATTTCAGTGAACAAATTGTATAATCTGATAAAACAGTTAGTCTGATTTGCCTTCAAAAAGTAAAATTGAGTTGTTGTTTTTTTGCTAAGAATTATATTAATGGGTGACAGTCCCCAAACTTTTGTGCATCATAAACCCGTTTCATACAAAGATGACGTTCTGAGTGGAGAGGAAGAAACCAAGTGCTTTTTTCTTATTTTTGTTCTATTTGTTAGGGTTAGCGTTCAGGTTTCCAACCTTGAACCTTGAAGTTCAGGAGAATACAAATGGGAGTGGTCATTTTCATAATAAAATATACTGATGATCAGTAGATAAAAATAAAAGACTTGTAGCTCATCCCTCGTCCTACTGTTCCACTTGGACGGTTCCGTCTCTTCAAACTCGGGTCTTTTACCAGAGGGTTCTGTCCGGTATCTTAGCTGTTCCTAGAACTGAGCTCTTCTGGACTGAGATCTCTGAGGTTGTTTCTGGGATCTGTTGGAGCCACTCTTCCAGTTTGGGGGTCACAGCACCGAGTGCTCCGATGACCACTGGGACCACTGATGCTTTGACCCTCCACAACTTCTGTATTTTATCTTTCAGCCCTTCATATTTCTGCAGCTGATCCTTCTTCCTGATGTTACAGTCTCTCTGGATTGCTCTGTCTGTCACCGCTGTCTTATTCTCTTGCTTGTCGATCACCACAGTGTCCGGTTGGCAAACAATCACCTATCTGTCAATCTGGATCTAGAGGTCTCACAGTATCTTAGACCTGCAATTCTCCACCAGCCTTTGTGGCATCTTCCACTTTGACTGTGGGACTTCTGGTCCATACTCAGCACAGATGTTCCTGTACATTATTCCAAATGTTCCTGTACATTATTCCAGATGTTCCTGTATATTATTCCAGCCACTTGGTTATGGTGTTCCACATATCTCTGCCTGGATCTTACAACCTGCTATTATGGGTTGGACTGTCTCAGGGACATCGTTGCACAGGCTGAATGAATTTAGTCTGGAATAGTAGACCCCGGCCTCTGTTGATTGCTCTTATAATAATAATAATAATAATAATAATAATAATAATAATAATAATAATAATCATTTTATTTAAAAAGCGCCTTTCATGACACCCAAGGACACTGTACAGTAAGAACAAAGATCAACAGGAATAAAGAATATAAAATACATAAAGAATATAAAATACATACAGATTATAAAATGCGTAAAGAATATAAAATACATAAAGAATATAAAATGCAAAAAGAATATAAAATACATAGAGCAAAGTTAAGGATAAGCGAGTCTAAAGAGATGTGTTTTCAGAGCAGTCTTGAATATAGAAAGAGAGGTGGTGTTTCTTAAAAACACCACCTTCCACCTCTTCAACACCACTTCTCTTGTGCTTCCATGATTACTGCCTCTGTGCTGTCCTTCAGTACAGCCCTCTGTAGCCACTGGTAAGATTTGTTAATATCAGCCACTTCCTCAATCTACTGGTGGTGCATGCCACGCAGGGGCTTATCTTTCCATGATGGCTCCTCTTGTTCTACCTCTTCCACATTGGGTTTCTGCTGCTGCCTGAGACATTCACTCATCAGGTCATCAACAGGGGTTTCCTCCTGATATATATATATATATATATATATAATTTCAAGAGGGATTTTTACCCCTGAAAGACGTTACATTCACATAATGCCTACTCCGTTTTCTTTTTATTGTGTCTACCCCTTAAACAGTGAAACGGCAGCTGCTTTGCTTTATTTTTTTTTTACATTAAATTTTCAGTAATAGCAGAATGGTCTCACAGAGTTGGTGATGTTAAAAAGGCAGAGGATACAGGTTTGTTTTTTGTCGAGAAATGAAAAGAAACAATTTTGGTTGAAGAAAAGAAGGATTGAAAGACTGTAAGTGAGCCAAGTTATGAACATGTCTCTGAGCATAATGGACCTGTTGTCTCTGCAGCCGCCTGTCCCGTGCTCTGCAGCGGTAATGGCCAGTACACTAGGGGACGCTGCCAGTGCTTCAGCGGCTGGAAGGGCACGGAGTGCGACGTTCCTGCCTCCCAGTGCATCGATCCTCAGTGTGGGGGACACGGACTCTGCGTGGCGGGAAATTGTGTGTGCAACACGGGCCACAAAGGAGTCAACTGTGATCAAGGTAATCCAGGAAGAAAAACTCTTCCCCCTGGATTCAAAGCAGACTGAAGCAACATGTTTCCTTGCAATGCTCTGGGAAATCGACTCATTCTCTTAGTGAAACAATTGGTGTTTTCGACTCCACTGAGCGGATAATGCTTTGGATGCTGGTATTGATATTGTGCGTATAAATTAACTCCCTCTTAGTGTTTAGACTACATGAGGGTACAAGCTCGAACAGATTGCCCGTCGATGCATTCACCTACTGGAGGGCTCTGCAGATGACGACACCTGTAAAAATCAATCAGTCCATGGCAACTCTTCCCCGCTTGCTAAGAAAGGGCAGCTTCCTCTCACTTGTCAACCCTCCACCCCACCCACTGCACTTTATTGCATTTAATTTTATTGATCCTCCCGCAGATAAAAGGCAATTATCAGCTCAGATTTACATGTGGGAGTTGTTGACCTTACATGCAAAAGCTATTGGGTGCACTTAATGAATATGTTGTGGTTTCCTTTGGAGGGAAGAAACATGGAAAAGAAACATATCTAAGATGGAGCTGCATTTGTATTTCTCAGCGTGCACGAGAAGGTTCTTGTTTGATTTAAATTGTTATGATTGAAAAATTATCAGCAGCAAGTAAGTTAAGAAATAAACAAAACCTAAATAAATCAACCCTTGTAAATGAGAAAATGTAAATTCTTACTTGTTTGTGGAGGGTTAATTATAAAGTACATAATTGCCAATTATTAACCCAGATCAACAAATTGTTAATAGTAATTGATCATATCAGTCTAGACAGTAATTGTGCTTTGTTTCACCGTGCTCATAATAGAGCCTAATTATGCTGTCTCTGTGTTGAATATACCCTATAATATAACATAAAAGAGCTGCAGAACGCAGGGTGGAAGATTACTACTGGCAACCACTAAACCCAGCAGAGGGTTCAGTTGCAGCCTCCCAGCCATCATCCGGCACTCGAGCGTTTCCACGCTTTAAAATGACTTTTTGGCTGCTAGGAGATTCAAAGTGGCTAAATAAGCAGGTTTGAATGTAGAAGTGGTAAAGTGACACAGCTGTCATCCTGGTTTTGTGTCTTCAGTGGACTGTGTGGACCCGGCGTGCTCCGGTCACGGAGCCTGTCATCATGGTGAGTGCCACTGTAACCCGGGCTGGGGAGGGATCAGCTGTGAGATCCTGAAGAGCACTTGTCCAGAGCAATGCTCCAGTCACGGCACATTCAACACCGACACGGGAACCTGCATCTGCGAGGCCAAGTGGACCGGGGCCGACTGCTCCATAGGTCAGAAAGCTCCTCCTCTGCTCTCTCTCTCCGTCACCTACAGTTACTGTAGACGTTGATACTGACCAGAGGTTGCATCAGTTTTTATTTTTAATCTGGTTTAATGCTTGTTACATTAAAAGTTTGTGAAGTGAAGCAAACAGAAAAATTGAAACTCTTTCATCAAATTCAAAACAACTTATTTTATGGTTTAAAAAACAACTTATTCAAAGAAATTGGCAGTAGAAGAACTTAAGAACTCCAGCCGGTAATGTTTGACCTTCTAATAAAATAAAATATAAATTATTGATTCCCAGACGAGTTGCTGAGTTCTTTTTATCTTGACTGACTCAATGGTTAATCAAGAATTTCAGCTGTAATCAAATTTTAGCGCTTTAATTAATTTCGACATTGCTGGCGTTTTGCTGTTTTTGATGTCATCAGTGGAAGCGCGGCGTTTTTCAGACTCTACACACAAACCTGAACAAAATTAAAGGGAACATTAGGCTTCTGTGTTTTTTTTGTGTATCAACCAATTTATTTATTTTTTTCATGAGAGATCTGTGATGTTTGCGCTGCACCAAGTTAGAACTACAGTAATATATTTTTTTACTGTTTTTATGGGTTACATTTCAGTCCAACTAACAAATAATTGGCACCATATTTCTCCGTATTTATTCCAAATAAAGTCCCCCGTGCTGCGCCAGACTCCAGGTCTCCAAAACAGCAGCTGTACACGCCTTTACTAACAGGCTGTAAGTTCCAGTTACAAGTCTTTGTTGCAGCACATTACGTCTACATGTGGGTGTCTTATTAAAGAAAGTTCAGAAATTATTCTAGGGAGCCGAGGTTTCTGTAAAATTATGGCAGAAGTAAAAGTGATGTTTTTTTTCATGCTTACATAAAAAAACCAAGAGTTTAAAGTATCCATCATTTACCTCAGCACAGTAAACTGAATATTTTCTGAAATTAATGTGAGACAATTTGAACAGAACCTTCTGCAGCAATCAGCTTCTTGTCGTAAGTGAGCAACAAAATTCTACATTTGCGATGTCCCACGAGTTTAGAGGTGATGGATGAAAACTGAAGCGTTACAGAGTTGCATTACCGTCACTGCTGTGTTTTGTGAGTGCAACTCTAGTTTCCCTCATTTAAAATCACACTGAGAGAAGTTTGACTTATTCTCAATAAAAATAAACAGGGCTACCTGATGACACATTTATGATTGTGAGGATTTGTTAGCAACACGTTCAGAACGATGCAATACGAGCTGTTTTATTCAGACACGAGCAGCACTATTAAATGTCTCTTAGCACTCAGAGATGCATCGGTGTGTTCGGTGTTCCACAAATAGAAGCAAGGCAGTCATCCGAGCCGGCCACAGAAAACAAATCCACTACAAAAGGCTTTCTGGGCTTCGTGGAGACCAACGTGGACATCTGAGAGCCACAAGTTTGGAGCTTGTAGAACAAACCGAAGGACTGAGGGCAGACTCCACGTCATTTTGTGCATCTTATGGTTTTCTGCTGCACGATCACAAATGACTTTGCTTAAAGGCAGTCATTGCAAAGTTATGAAGACCCAACAAGAAAAGAACATTTAAACAAAATCCACAGAACATTTCTCTTCATACTGATGGTTTACGTGTCTTTGAATTTAAAATGTTTACACAGAATTTGTGACCAGATGCCATTGTTTACCTCCAAAGTGACTGGAAATATGTCCAACCCTTCTGGTTGTATTTGTTTGGCTGCACCGACCAGTCAGCCTCCTGTAAATCAGTCATGTGACTTAAGAAGCTTCCAGCTGGTTTTTGTACCCTCTGTTCATCAGTGCATGTACAATAACTTCAATAATAAGTGAGGTACCAACCTCTATTCAGGTGTAAGGAAAAAGTCCTTATCACATCATAATCCAAGAAGGCCACGCCCAGTGCTTAATTTGTAAAAACAAACAATGTCAGATCAAAAATAGTGGGGTGGGGGGGGGGGGGGGGGGGAGTCCTCATCCAGAAAATTTTGAATAAAGTAAATGCCATTTTCTGCATTCTGGTGTATTTTAACGGGTTGTTAAACATGTACAGTTATTTAATTAAACACTTGATTCAGTAAGTATTTTAGAGCAACAGGAAGTAGCCTGACCAACAGCTCTCCCTGTGTGACTAGAGCATACTTTGCTTCTCTCACACATTCTAGCCCCTGCTCCAGTATCTCCATCACCGCTGCCTTCATGTGCTTCAGTTCTCTGTTGTTTAGTTGTACAATGAGAAGACTTTATTTATTTTTAAATTAAAATAAATTGAACTGTCTTTTCCACATTTGATCGCTGTTATTTTGACAAATTGTCGCCATCGTTTTGATACGTGACGTACGTCACATGATTACCATCAAACATTTCTTTCATATTTTTAATAAATAATCTAAATTTCATTAATGACCCACTTAAACTGTAAAACTGATTTGCAACTTAGGTGTGCTGTTTAATTCTATTTTTATGCTTTTTAATAAAATTGTCCATGACTGAACCTTTAGGGGCGGAGATATTTTTAAGGGTAGAAGTGGAAATGCTTACTTGAAGGGGCAGCTCTGATGTGATATTAAGAAGCTTGTAAATGGCTGTTATGTTTAAAATTAGTGTTTATTTAATTATTTTCAGATTACATGTCCATTATAGGTTTAATTTGTTCAAGGCAGTCAAATTTGTTCATACCTTTAATATTAATAAGCCTGAAAGTTACCGGATCCAAACAAACATTTACCGGAATGCACCCTGGTAAAATAAGAGTTCCCAGATCCTGTTCCAGCAGGATCCGGCTCAAATTAAGCCCCGGCCACGACCACATATATAAACCGACCACCCACAACTTTTGGAGGAAACTAGTCTTTCTTTTAGTTTTGCATAAACTAAGTCCCCCCAACTAAATGGGGTGGCCAAAGATTAATTTGTGAAGGCCAAGCTGCCCCCCCCCCCCCCACACACACACACACACACACACACGCACAACTACAAAAAACAACAACTACTAAACTTCCTCTGTTCTTCTCCACGGTGTAACTCCTGCCCATTTGAGTATTTGGCACCAAAAACATTAAAGTTTACTTCATTCTCTGTTCAGGTCCAGGAAAAACACTCATCTCCAGAACTACAAACGTTCAGTGTTCAAGCCCCTCAGAGTTTCAGTTTTTACTGTGAGTCCAGTTTGAACATTTTAGTTTGAATATAAATAAAAATACAAACGATTCAGTTTGTTTTGAACTAATTAAATCTCGCTGCAAGTGTGATCACACTCTCGATGTTGAGTAATCAACACTCGCGTCACGTGCACGTTGTAATCCTAACATATGCTGACAACAAAGCTTGCACTGTTAGTTTTTATAACTTGGCATATGTTCCTTTTATTGTCGCTGAACTTATGGATCTGTCTAAAAACATTTCCTGAAAGTGCCAGAGTATAACGGAGCAGCTTCCTGTTTGCAGCAGAAAAAAGACCGTCTGCTCTGAGCAGAGCGTCTTCATTAGTTCCAGCTTTGTATTCTGTGGGTTTGTCTTTGGACACAGGTAGGTGTCTGGTTAGTTCAAAGGCTGGCCGCTCCCAGCTGCTATCTGTGTCTGAGCTGCAGGTGATTTATGTGCTGGTCTCCGTCTGAGCGTTGGCTTCCTCTGCGCGTCGTCCCTCCAGGAGGAAATCATACAGAGTCAAACAATTAAAAACAGATATTTCTCTTTGCTTCTTTTCTTGTTCCTCTCAGCATTAAAGCTTCTCTAACATATTTCCTTTGCCGAACTTAATCTGCAAATCAAAGCGTAATCTTGTCTGAGTGGGACGTTGGAGATGATCGTGTCGTTGCAGACCTTCAGAAGCACGTCGCTAGTTTGATTGGTGCCCAAGTAGTACCTCGTTTATTGCGGGTATCTGTACCCTGAAGCCCCACGATACGTGAAAAACTGTGAATAGTAGTACAAGTAGTAGTTGTTTTTAGTATTTATATTTACATATAT